GCTTTCTCTCCATAGCCAGGGAGCTCTGATATAGCTTTAATGCTTTCTCTCCATAGCCAGGGAGCTCTGATATAGCTTTAAGGCTTTCTCTCCATAGCCAGGGAGCTCTGATATAGCTTTAAGGCTTTCTCTCCATAGCCAGGGAGCTCTGATATAGCTTTAAGGCTTTCTCTCCATAGCCGGGAGCTCTGATATAGCTTTAATGCTTTCTCTCCATAGCCAGGGAGCTCTGATATAGCTTTAATGCTTTCTCTCCATAGCCAGGGAGCTCTGATATAGCTTTAAGGCTTTCTCTCCATAGCCGGGGAGCTCTGATATAGCTTTAAGGCTTTCTCTCCATAGCCGGGGAGCTCTGATATAGCTTTAAGGCTTTCTCTCCATAGCCGGGGAGCCCTGATATAGCTTTAAGGCTTTCTCTCCATAGCCGGGGAGCTCTGATATAGCTTTAAGGCTTTCTCTCCATAGCCAGGGAGCTCTGCTATAGCTTTAAGGCTTTCTCTCCATAGCCAGGGAGCTCTGATATAGCTTTAAGGCTTTCTCTCCATAGCCAGGGAGCCCTGATATAGCTTTAATGCTTTCTCTCCATAGCCAGGGAGCTCTGATATAGCTTTAATGCTTTCTCTCCATAGCCAGGGAGCTCTGATATAGCTTTAAGGCTTTCTCTCCATAGCCAGGGAGCTCTGCTATAGCTTTAAGGCTTTCTCTCCATAGCCAGGGAGCTCTGATATAGCTTTAATGCTTTCTCTCCATAGCCAGGGAGCCCTGATATAGCTTTAATGCTTTCTCTCCATAGCCAGGGAGCCCTGATATAGCTTTAATGCTTTCTCTCCATAGCCAGGGAGCTCTGATATAGCTTTCCATAGTCAGGGAGCCCTGATATAGCTTTAATGCTTTCTCTCCATAGCCAGGGGCTCTGACTTTCCATAGTCGGGGAGCCCTGATATAGCTTTAACTTTCTCTCCATAGCCAGGGAGCTCTGCTATAGCTTTAAGGCTTTCTCTCCATAGCCAGGGAGCTCTGATATAGCTTTAAGGCTTTCTCTCCATAGCCAGGGAGCTCTGATATAGCTTTAAGGCTTTCTCTCCATAGCCAGGGAGCTCTGATATAGCTTTAAGGCTTTCTCTCCATAGCCAGGGAGCCCTGATATAGCTTTAAGGCTTTCTCTCCATAGCCAGGGAGCTCTGATATAGCTTTAAGGCTTTTTCTCCATAGCCGGGGAGCCCTGATATAGCTTTAAGGCTTTCTCTCCATAACCAGGGAGCCCTGATATAGCTTTAAGGCTTTCTCTCCTCCAGTTTAATGGCTTGCCTTTCCTTCTGCTAACAATGACAAGGGGTTAGTGTAGTGGTTCTGGAGTCTATAGCCTGTCCCTGCAGGTTAAGCAATGAAAACACTGCAGTATTTACATTGCTGGTTAGTAACACCTCTAGATACAGTCTCTCAGACGGCCACTAGAGGTGCTTCCTATCTGAGTGTTGCACAGTGTGATGCAATGCATCTCGATTAGTGCAGCGCAACATATTGGCGTTCATGTGCAATAGCCTCCGAATGCTTTTCTATCGGAAAAGTCAGAACCAGCCAGAGTGAGAAAAGGTAAGTAAAGCTACTTTTAACTACTTACTGGGGATGTGCGGGATCCTAAACTGATACTCCACCACTATAGTGTTCCTTTAACAAAACCTCTGTATGGATTTAAAAAAAAAAAAAAATATATATATATATATATATTTATTATTATTATTATTATTATTATTATTATTATTATTATTATTATTATTGATACATTGTTACACATGTAATACTGTTTTCCCCAAAATTAAGACCGGATCTTGTATTCATTTTTGCCCCCCAAAAAATGCACTCAGGCTTATTTTCGGGAAAAATACTAGCAAGCATGTGCTATTTTCATGGTAGGCCTTATAATTATGAGCATCCCTCAAACATAAGCTAGGACTTATATTGGATACATTTACACATATAATACACACAGTACAGTTATAGATACATTGTTACGCATATAAGGTACAGCTATAGATACTATAATAAATCAGGGGTGTTATACACTCACAGACATAAGATGATTGGAGGCAGAAAGCTAATAAATAGACTGGACATTTCAATGGTATTTTGAGTGGAAGAAGAACGGAAAGAACACAGTGCAAACTTGTATATAAAAGGGCACACTTTTGATATAAATTGCACTCACAAAATCAAAGTCAATCACTGACGCATCAAAATCACGCTATATAGTTCTCCAGTTAGGGTGAATTCTTTCCAGGAATGCAATAAAGCAGAAGCGATGACGTAAATCAATAAAATAAAATGTTAAAATAAATGACAATAATTGTCTCCATGTCCTACACAGGGTCATTCAGATTGTGACATAATCTGTAAATACCATTGAATAGGGAGTCAGAATATAGAAGGTGCAGTATATATATATATATATATAATTAACTTTCTACCTGCAATCATCCTATGTCTGTCAGTGTATTACACTCCAGATTTAAAATGGCGTCTTAAACATATTACACTGTTTGTGGTCCTTTCGGTTTTATTTTTTGTAAATAGTGTTTGTATATTATTGAAGATACAGAGGAGTCTTTTTATTGTCTATATTTTATGTGGAAACAGGTAACTTAATATTTTACTGTATCCCCACCTCTTCTCACTGGTGTCCTTATTCTGGGTTTTGCTTGTGTATATTTACCGGAACTTGTTTTTGCAGAATAATACAGACCTACGTTTTACGGGAGGAAGCTGGGACCTTATCAACAGAGGCTTCAGATTTTAACAAAGTTAATCTGAGCAAGCGAGGTGGGATCATGGCTTCCTTGTACACATCCCACGCAGCAGACAGCGGCCTTACTCTAGACTTGTCCTTAGAAATCAACAGAAAACTGCAAGCGGTGCTGGAGGATACTTTGCTAAAAAATATTACCCTGAAGGTAAGACGGTGTAAAATCACGTTGGTAGTTTTTTTTTTATCCCCTCCTCACTGTGCTAGCCCATGTGCTATCTGAGAAAAATGATCGAACATATCAGAATGATTTATTGAAGGTGGCGCACACATTCCTACCGCTAGGTTTGCTATCCCACAATGCTTTGCAGTCAGTCATACAGTGAATGCACGCCGTTATAATACGTGCGGTCAGGAAAAATAAGGCTCACATTGATTTTATTGACAAAAATGTCTCATAGCTACTTATTTTTTCTATCATCAAGCATCCCGTTGTTTAAATAAATCTATAGGTAGATGGTATAAATCAAAGCTAAACATTAGTCACACCTTGTGTTTTGTTTTCATTGGTGTATTCACCTACATGGGTTTGAAACATGCCGTCCCATCACGGCACCGATTTTATTCTTCATTTTACATTCGATCAGAGGCTGTCAATTTATTGTCTCTATCGTTTTCATCCTCAGGAGAATCTGCAAACTCTAGGGAGTGAGATTGAACGTCTTATTAAGCACCAACACGAGCTGGAGCGACGACTGTAGCTGCATCATCTGTACAAATACCCGTCGAAGGAACCTGATCAGACTTTTTACAGAAAACATTATTTTAGCATTAAGCATGAAGATATCCAGACACTCAATACTATATATAGATATATATATTTTTTTTTATTCCTGAAAATGCATATTCAAATTAGCAGGGATTTTGAATTTATTTTTCTCTACTCTGTCGACTCATGTTTAGTTTCAGTCTACCAAGCACTTTGCTCTCGTCAGAGTTAATTTATTATCCTGAATCCAGACACTCCAGTCTTGTGCTTTACGCTGGGGCCATTTTATTTCCTGCGAAGTATCCTTTAAATGAATGAAAGAGAAATTGCACTAACCAGGAAAAGAAATTCCTAGCAGAATTGAAATCATTACAGATTCCGCACTTGTTCTTCCATTCAGATGCTCAATACACTTAGGTCATTACATTGTAATGAGAATTATCTGTATTTTGAAGGGAGGGAGGGATTATAAAAAGGACTCCTGTGACCCCGTAAGTTGAATCATGTTAAGTTGAGTCTGCTGCAGCTGCAGGGTTGCAGGTAATTGGGTTACACAATGTGTAGTCTGATCGCTTGCTCTCCACCTTGTTATATTTTAGGGACCAACAACTTAACCCTTGCAAGTTATTTATCAGGTTTTTTAAAAATGTGTTTTTATTTCTTTGCTTGCTTGACTGTGAACCTCTTTTTATACTTTTATTATCGGTAGATATTCATGTTTCATAGTATTTGGAGGCCCTGCTATTTATTGAACGTGGATATCCCACGGGTCTGCCACTGATCATTACATGTAACTGGCCACACCAACACACATTGCCTGTCTTGGGTCCAGACCTAGCCAGCTTCACTAATCATCTTTTCAAGCTAGTTATAGTTTAATGCTAGCTTTATAATACAGGATAGATACATGCCACAGAACATGTTGGGGTTATATCAGCTGAGGAGATACAAGGACCATGTGTCAATTCATTATTCGGAAACTCCTGTTCCAAGATTCATCATTTACTATGATTTAATGATGGAATGTGCAATCCTTGCTTATGGGAGATGAATATCTTACAGACGGGCCCTTTCATTTCTTGGAGTTGATTGAAAAGTCACAAAATCCCACCCTTTTTACACACCCTGCAAAACCTGTAAGCAAGACTTTAATTGACAGAAACAGGTTCAAATTCCCATTACATTATATCCAATGGTTGAATGAAATCTATATCTGAGGGATATTGACTTTTATCCCATTACCCGCACCACCGAGAGCAATTTCAAACTGAATGAGAGCTGTGTGCTTTATTTTTTCTATGTTAACGTTTATGTCTGCTTTTTTGTTTGTGTCTTGTCTTTGTTTTCTTGTAGTAATATAAGAAAAGCACTTTAATAATGTGTTAATAAAACAGAAATGTATTCCCATGTCCAGTAAAATATAACCGGTCTAATGGCATATTAGATGTGCAGGCGATATCAGAATTTCCCGTTTGCCCGTCCTAATGAGAGCAGTCCTGTTGAATGTAAATGTTCTGCATACTCTGGCTGTAAGAACCCATGTATATTTACTGGTCCTGCTAGGGAAACTCGGTGACTAGATCATGTGCCCAAAGTTGGACTTTTGCTCCCATAACCCCCAGCCAGTCAGAGTAAATTGATTGAAGCTCTCTGTTTGACGAGGGGAGTCTCACCGATTCTGTAACTAATTTAGGGCTTTGTGAAGTTGGTGATGAGGGTGCAGGGCTGTTTTAGAATAATGTGGTGGTCCAGTTGTGCAGGAGGCGTGTGTATTTTGATTCTGAGCCTCCTGGTTTGTTGGGCGTGCCATGGTTAACCTCCATCGTTCTCCATCCACTTTGCTTGGTCCTGTAGATAGGAAGGGAGGATCTCAATGTGCCTAATTTGTTTGTGCTTCCATGTCTGTAGAGTGCAGTTCTGATTAGACTCACAGAGGGAGATTATTCCCCAGTGAGGCTGTCTCTTCGTTTTTTGAGTGGAAGTGATTTTGTGTTGCACAACGGTTGTGCTGGAAATTCTTTGTTTTTGAACTTTTTGAGAAAACCTAACATTAAATCACTTTGACTTAATTTGTATTTCATGGAAATCTCCTGTGAGTCTCTTGCATCCTGTGTTGCATTTTATTTTGTTTTAAACATTTTATCATGTCCTATCTCCAAGAAGAGAGTCTCAATAATGTCGGTATGCAACTCAAATTGCTGTTTTTATAATTCTCTTCCTAGACCTAGATGGACTCTGCCTTGGATTCTCTCCACAGTATTCCCAGAATGCCATGCTACATATGCAAATGAACAGAGAGATTAAGCACTTTTTAGACTTTAGCTCACATATGTGTTTGTCTCATGGCAATGGCTCACCGTTTTTAAAGCGTTTCTTACAGCAATGTGTGAGTCATGATCCAATTGGTAGAGAGCCAGCCGTAGACCGCACAATTTCTTACTTTTAGGACTCCCCAGCATGGTATTTGGCAGGTCCAGTGGTGGAAATCTGTCAACAGAGAACCAAACGTGATAAATTCTCCTCACTTTGAATATGTAAATGTAACTTACTTAAAGGTGCAGTCCACCTGTGAAGTGGGGTCAGATTATGGGCACACTGGGGGATGAAGGCGCGTGTCATAAACTTTTTAACGCAACAGGGGACTCCTGGCACCATAACCACTGAAGTGTGCAATGCTGAGTTTTTATCACTTTGATTGCACTATTATTATATATAAAGAAGTTATAGTTGTAAAGTGCCAATATTTCCCACAGTGTATTATAATCTTGCATGTGAGCAGGACATTATTTGTCCTGTGTCTCTGAGAGATTGGGCAGGTCCGGTACGGTTCAAAGCATGCCTTTGTGGAGCTATCTTGGCAGACACGTCTTCTGGGATTTAACATCCTGTAAATAATATTCACTGACGTCCTACAGATGTGGTAGCATACTTTATCAGCATTCGGTCATGTGTGTTTTATTGAGCCATCGAAAGCATCATCCAAGTGTTTGTGTTGGCTTCTGCAGGGATTGCAGCAAATGCACATTTGTTTATATTGCCCTAGGGAGGGAGGGGAGCGGGTTGGATAGGCGCTTGTGAAGTCTGTGTCCCCGATATATTGGTCATTTTCATTCCTGCTTTTTTCAAAAACGTAAGCTTGTCCCTTTTTCTAAACGTGTCCATTACCTACCGCGACTATATATTTGTAGGACAGTCAGATTCCGCTCTTTAAAGATTAAAATCATTATGTCCCTGATGAGTGAAACCAGTGCCGGTTGGAAGACTTGCTTTTATTATCACCCCACAACCCCCATTTTGTGGTCAGTGATATTTATTAATTATATTGCACCCATTTGCAAGCTGGAATAAATGGCTTTTTTTAAGTCTTCTGATCTATTCATACTTCATAATGAACCAATGTATTTTTATTTTTTTATATATTTATTTGCACCATGTAAAGGTTATTTGAGGAATGGCCTTTAATTAGATCACGCAAAGTGTTTATCCATAACGCAGCGTGATATTTAAGATTTGCGGTTTCTAGCATCAGCTGGGACATTCTTGCTGAGCAGGTCTTGTGTTGGAATGGGGCAATAAGATAAGCAACGTTCTGTGCCAAGACCTTGTTTATTGACCAAGCGTCCTACGTTCTGTGTCTGTTAGTATGGGTGTATAAATCCGTAGCCTAGAACACTAAATGAAGCCTTTAGCATCTCTGCCTCTTTAACCCCCGTCCCTTTATGACAAAATCCTGGGGTCTGGGCCAAGTATTAAACACCATCCTACATTCCCATAAATTAGATTTTGCTGACTTTTCCAAGATAAAACGTTTGGGCACCTGTACAAAATATGAATCAAAACTAAATCATTTCCAGAAGCCATGTAACTGCTTATTATAGAAAATGGATTTCTGGCCTAAAATAGAGCGTTTCGTGCCACCTGGTAAGTTGGTGAATAGTTTGTCATTGATTATTTTATTCTAGAAAGGAAATCAACCTAAGAATGTTTCAACCTAATTGTGTAGAAAATTGTATATTGCAGATTTTATTTTTTCACTTCTATTTATTGTATATAGCTGAATGCGGGGACATTACACACCGTTCCAAGCAGTTTAACAAACATTAAACTTTGTTCCTTGTTTTGTGTTAAATTGCACATTATGTTCAGAGATGTGGTTACAGTTGTAATTACATTTTTATTTGTTTGCCAATAAAAATAGGATTTTTTTTTTTTTCATTTCAGGGGTTATTCTAAACTTGTGAAGAGTGGGCACTGCTTTTATTTGCGTTAAATCACTCCGCGTGTGTTTTGCTTTTGTAGATCGGTTTTAATAGCTTTCCAAACCAAGTCACCACCTCCTACATCAGGGGGCACTGACATTTCTGCCATCATGTTAAATAGGGGGCTTGCAGCCAGTTTGTCAGTTTAGCTACTGACAACGCATTGTGCTTTGGACTTCGGGCTGACTTTTAACTCTTAATTTACATAAGACTGGGTTTTTATCAAAGTGGGCGATTCCAGAATCCCAGGCCATTGTTTTAGACCCAGTGGACTGTCCAATTTGGTTTACAATTAAAAACTGTGCCAAATTAGCACCTTCAGTACAGTATCTATCCAGCATTTATTGATGGCAATTTTACAGACCGATAAGTCCCTGCTTGTAACATGATCAAAAGCGCTTATTGTAACTCGTTTACTTCGGCATGGGATGCATTAGTCCCATCCTTGTCTAACACAGTTAACCCTTTCACTCTTAAAGGATTGGTTCACCAGAGAGACCTGCACAATATACAAATATAAACCATTCTATTGTAACAGGTTGCGCAGTGAATTTCCGTAAACTTCGAGATCAGAAATTAAAAATGCTTAATTGGTACAGAAAATCAACTAGCAGTCACCTTAGTGTTCCTTTCCTGTTACTATGAACACATCTGGAATATGACATATCGGAAGCACTCCATATTTACTGAAATGATTAACCTGAACGATTTACAGTGTAAACTACTTTATAAACTGATAACTTTGTATAAATTATTTGATCTGGTCAATGAATGACTTGGTTATGCCATATGTATATGTTGTAATTTTCAATAAATTATGTACAGATCAACTGAAAACCTTACTTTTATTTTATATTTAATGATGAATGGGCTGATTGTTGGGGATCCAGGGATAATGACGTCTGACAGGTGAACATGAGGAGTGATCAGTTCATATAGTAAACAAATCGATACCTGTGGGGACTTCCAAGCCTTTCTAGTAATTAAAGAAAACAAAACCTATTTTCACCAGTTGGTTCATCCTTTGGCATAAACACCCTGACTCGCTAATAAACCTGCAAC